GATCGACCAGACGCGGGGAGGATCCTTTGTTCAAATGGACGAAGAAGACACAATGTATCGGACGGCTACTCCAAAGTCCAGGCCTCCTTTGGTTTAGAGGAGTCTTGTAGGAATTTCATAGGATAGGATTTCTATAGGAAAAATTCATGTAGAGCCCTTTGGTTTGTTGGAATGAAATCCTATTCCTATGGATGAATTCTTTCTATCCTTCACATTTCATAGGAAAATAAATATTAGCCTAGACTCAATGGGAAAAAAAATCTTATGATGTGAATCAAAGGGCATCTTCTTTGCTATTCCTACTCATAGAATTTAACATACATGTCATCTCATTTTCTATGACTTTTCTATTCCTACGATTTTCTTACCCTATGAACCAAAGGAGGCCCCAAACTCTGATAATCACTGCTGAACCCACAGCGTTATTTAATCAAACCACACCCGTCGTACCACCCTCAGGCTAGCGCCGTCACCACAAGCAGTACTACCGTAAACTACTGTTGCGCTCTCAAAATCTGCCGTCGGGCCTGGCGTCGCAATAATTCGGGAAATAATTGGCGCGTTCCGGAGAGGACGCACACCCAAGACCCAACCCAACCGAGAGCAGAGACGAGAGGAGAGGCTGTCCCACGTGACGGCACAGAGCGTGGGTGTGCCCCCCGCCCCAGCTGTAAAGCGGGGCCCGACGCCAGTTGTTTGCGCCCGGAAAGCCACCGTCCACTGCCGGCCTCCCCGCGCGGCCGCCTCCCGCGGCACGTACGCGTGGTCCACCCACCGCCCCGCCTTCTCATCAGTGCAGCGTACGTGGTGGAGTGCATCGCCGCCGAGCCCAGCCGTGCAGATTGTTTGTTACCACCTGCACTGCTGCTGGCGGCTGCGCCATCAGTGATTATGTTTCCAGTGACATCATCAGGGAGACGAGGCGCTGCACCGCTCATTACTGCTACTACTACTTGGCACGCTGCCGAGATCTGGCGCAGGTGGAAGCAGCCCGTGGTTTGCGACGAGCTAAACGGCGAGCCGCCGCCGGTGGCTGGCTACAGCAAACCGTGGTTCGGCTCGGCGGCAGTGCGGCGGTGGGCTCTACCACGCGGCAAGCCACTGCCCCGGGGGCAGATCTCGAGGCGGTAAAAGCGCCCCCAGATCCTGGGGCCGCCGCCCATTCCTACGGTCCAGTACTGCTACCAGTAGGTGGTGCAGTGCCTCCCGCAGTGCCCTAGTGTAGGCCGCACTAGCACCGATCCCTCGGGTCGTCGTCTCCCTCCCCTCTCCGCATGCGACCAGGGCCAATAACCCGAAACGGATACCGTTCCGGTCTTCCGTACGCGCGGCGCCAAAACCGCCGCCGGCTCATGGTTAGTTAGTTAACCGACACCATTTTTCTTCTTCAGTATAGCCATTTATACACCGCCATCTCGACCGTAAGTACTCCCTCCATTCCACAATGTAGTGCCTATAAATTTTTGTCAAAGTCAAACTTTACCAACTTTAACCAGTGTATAGAAAAATTTGTCTACATCTACAATAACAAACATGTACATTATGAAAATATAACTCACGATGTATCCTATGATGTGCATTTGGTATTCTAGATGTACCTACTTTTCTCTATAAACATGGTCAAAGTTTGTAATGTTTGACTTTTGTAAAAATCTATAGGCACTACCTTATGGAACGGAGGGAGTACGTCTGCCGTACGCAGCCCTGTTGATCAATCAAGTACAAATTGATCACATTCACGCACATGCCGACTGGCTTACACCCTAGCGTGACCAGTATTTCCGTAATCTCTCTGTGATTGATTCCCAGGCCGGCGCACCGCACAAGACGCCTCGTTCAGTTCCCGTTTTATGCCAGTGGACAGCGTACGGCGAGAATCTACAGATATACTGTAGGCAACAGTGCGCGTCCACAAGGACAAACACGTGGATCCATAATTGACGATTCGATCTCCACACCGTGCATGATCCGTCCAACCTAACCATGCACGATCTCTTAGCCAGACTCTTGCATCATCAGAATGAAACTGAGAAACATGGCCACCGTCCCTGTTACCAGCAATCAAACGTCCCGCCCGCTTTCCAGACCAAACATTCTCACACACAACCTCCAGCACTTTCACCTCGATCGCTCTGGGGTCTGGGCCTACCGTCGGTATAAAATAGTCGGTGGCAGCTGGTTCCAACTGTAAGGATGGGGAGATCCAGGCTTGTTTGACCGGAGGGGAGGGCGACAGCTAGCCCAGCACCGGATGCACCACCGCCACCACCACCAGCAGCAGGTTGCAGGAGAAGAACATGGCAGTGGAAAGCTTGAGCGACACAGCGCCATGGATCTAGCAATAGAATACTGACGATCACAGCTAGCGCCCAGTCCACCAGGTACAGTCCGCGGCGACAGATCTAGGGGAGGAGACCCGAGACCGTTATTCTGACGCGTAGCAAAGCGATTCATGACGCACGCTGCCGCATCTGGCAGCCTGCAGCGCCGTGACCGAGCGCAACTGTTCGTTTTGATGGCCATCATCATGACTGCACGTGGTCGATGGCCGGCCAAAGGGATGCCATGCCCGTTCTTTACCAGAGACGGAGCTTTGCCTTGCTCAGAGTAAATTGCACAGAAGTACCACAATTAAAGCATTAGAAGCAGATTGGTATCAAGATTGGTAATTTTTACTTGTCAGTACCAAGTCTGGGGCAAGCCGTTACAGAAAGGTCTAAACAACGTATAAACACGTATTGACGGTGTATCTGACCGGCGGGCCCCGCCTGTCGGGTGCCGACGTGGCATGTTTTTCGCAGAAACCCCCCTGTTTCGCTGGCGCTGTTGTTCGCCGTCTCCACTGCGGTGGCGCACGATCGGGATCGAGGGAGGAGCCCCTCGAGCCCGAGCTCCTTCGCTTCCCATAACCCCCGCCCCGGCCTGGCCTCCTCCTCGCCTCGCCGCCGGCCGGCCGTCGGAGCATCACCACCGACGACCGGCCATCCCCGCACCCTGCCTCTCTCCTTCTCTTCCCCGCACCCTGCCTCTCTCCTTTTCTTCTTTCTTCCATTTTCTCTTCTCTCTCTCTCTCACCCGGAGCTCTCTCTCTCTTGCCCATTGGACAGGAGCCCGACGTCAAGCCGCCATGGATGGCCTCCCGTAGCTCCAGCCCGACGCGCCGCCTTGGTTCCCGGCCAATCCGCGCTGGAGAGCCTCAGATCCGTCCATCCCCTTCGTTCCTCGACGGCGGAGCCCCTGCATCGCGCCGCCTCCTCCCCTTTGACCGCAACGCCCCAGCCCCTACCTTGCCGGATCCGGCCTCCTCTGCGCATCTCGTTCCCGTGCCCTACCTCGCCGGATCCGGCCTCCTCTGCGCCTCCCGTGCCCGCACCCTACCTCGCCGGATTCGGCCTCCTCTGCGCCTCCCGTGCCCGCGCCCTACCTCGCCGGACCCAGTCTCCTCTGTGCCTCCCGTGTCCGCCTGACCTCATCCTAGCCAGCGCAAGTTCCCTGTTCGTGCTGGAGACGACGAACAGCAGCGCCAGCGAAACAGGGGGGTTTCTGCGAAAAACATGCCACGTCGGCACCCGACAGGCGGGGCCCGCCGGTCAGATACACCGTCAATACGCGTTTATATGCTGTTTAGACCTTTTTGTAACGGCTTGCCCCAGACTTGGTACTGACACGTAAAAATTACCAATCTTGGTATCAATCTGCTTCTAATGCCCCAATTGTGGTACTTTTGTGCAATTTACTCCCTTGCTCAGTGTCAGTAGGGGTACTTGATGCAGTAGTTTCCAATTCCATGCAAGATTTTACTGGGCCTCCCAGCCATTGCAGCACCGGGTATGATCGCCATGTACCGACACGATTATTCATTCTAGTGTTCCTAGTTTCCCAGCACCGGACCCATGCACCTATCATCCAAGAGAAGCCACAGCTCAATCCCACCTAGAATGGCCCCGTTTTCAGATCCTGATCTTCTTTCTTAAAAAATAGTTTTCGTTCAAATTCGACAGCAACGAGCTGCAAAAGTTGCCGCATTTTCTAACCTTTTTTATTGTTTCTTTTTGGAGGAAAAGAGATGCTGGTACTGGTACAGCAACAAAGTTGACGCAGATCTTCCGTCAAAGTCATAGGTTGGTAGGGTTATTGTTTCTTTTGCATTGTTTATGTAAAAAAGGGTGGGTTATTTTTTCTTCCCTCGTCGGCTAGCTCGATTGATTGCCATTCGTCAACTACCTTTTTTTATTTGAATCATTCATCAACTACCCCAGGCCAACAACTCGCATTCCGGGTACTATCGGTACCTCGGCCCAATGGGTCTGCAAATGGCCCAACACATTGCGGTGTATACTTTGCGGCTAGCACTGGCCCAAAACACAAAGTACACAATCACCCTAAATACCTCAGCAAAAAAAAAATCTCAGGACAATTTTTTTTGCAATTCAAGGTGTTCTTTACTGGGTTATCACTAGCAGCGCGTCATTGTGGCGACAGAGAGATTTCATAGGGTTCCCTTCTGCAGACGTGCATGAGTAGCAGAGCCAGATGCTTGGAAGCTGCCTCCATCTCGAAGACTTTAACAGCTACAGCAGTAAGCTATTGAGCGCTGTTTTCTGATGCACCTCAAAGTCCTGAACAAATTTCATTAGCATAGCACAAGCTTGCGACAGGCCGGTTGTCAAAAAGAAGACAGAGCGACGACAGATGCTGCGACCCGCTGAAAGACATCGCACCGTCCCAAGGATGAACTGACAATTCACAACAACCTTCTGCCAATTGTTATTTGGACATGACGATGAACAGAAGCATGAGATGTGTTTCTTAGCATGCAACTACGTAAATAAATTAATCGTCGCAGCAGCAACAAGCTAAGCTCGGAGCTTAGTTTCTTTCCTAGATCGATCTAGCTAGTTGCTAGCTGCTAGCTAGTTGGTGAAGTACAATAAGACGACGGAGAAGGCCTTCGTGGGCAGTATGCACATGCACGTAATCACGATCTCAGATGATGTGCTTCATCGCTGCACGCAGCTGAACCCATGGCACACGGCCATCCACACGCCGAACAGGACCAGGCACAGCACCACGTCCACACCGATCACGGCCATGGCGTGCCGCCGCCACCACGTGCGCCTCCAGGAGGGCCGTCCTGGCCGCCTGCGTGGCGCCCCGTCCTCCGGCTGCGCCTCCTCGTCCTTGTCGGAAGCATGCTCGCTCCATGAACCGTCGCCGGGGAATACCATCGAGTTTGCAGCCGCGGAGGAGCTCGTCCCGGCCTGAAGCGTCTGCGCGAACTGCCGCACGAGGCCGGACACTGCTTCGTCGCGCAGCCTCCTCCTGGGCATGGCGTTGCACGTGTCACGGACGCGCTCCAGGAAGCGGACGACCTCGGAGCTGCCCGGCGTGGGCTCCGCGACGGCGAGGTACGTGCGGCCATCATCGGCTGCAAGGACCGCGAACGTGCGTCTGCCGTCGTAGGTGTGATGGTGCCATCGGTGGTGCTCCGGCGCGTGGTCGAGGCAGAGCGCCGCCAGGGCACGGGACGCCTCCGCGTCCTCGCCAACCTCGCTGGACCGGAAGTACGATAGCCTGTCCTTCTTGGCCCTGGACGTCACGGCCACAAAGAAGAAGACGCTGGACTCCAGGCCGTCACCTTCGCTGACGCCGGCGGTGGCCTCCTTCATCGCCTCCAGTCTTGAGACGACGAAGCCTCTCGGGTTTGATCGGCGAGAGCTCATGCAAACTCGGAAGATTTCCGCCAAGGTGGAACTACATGTACGTGTATGGCTGGAGGTTGTGACCTTGCGATGCCAAGGGGCAGCTTCAAACCAACATGTGCTGGTATCACAGATGCGAGATGCAAAAGTTCTGGAGACAAACGGCGCAGAGTAAAGCTGCTGCAGTAGCAGTCTTTATGCAGAGATGATTTCGGTTTTCATATAATGTTCCAGCTGCACAAGAAAAGGCAGAGAGGATATGTGCCTTGTACGGCGGTTGTGGCTAAAGGATAAACAAGCAGACAAGGAAAGAAGCCCTAGAGGTAGAGCATTAGAGATAACTTACTTGAGGAGAGAAGCAATGAGAAGCGCCATCTTGATGCAGCAAAATGATGCATGCCTTCAAGTGTGGTTTTCGGCCTTGGTGAAGGCTTTAAGGGGTCCGATGTTGTGATTTGAGAAGAAAAGTATTTTTGCTGTAGAATTTTCGTCCGATGATAAGATACTTTGGGGTTAGGTGAGTCAAAACGGAAGCGACTCAAATTTCGTGCTTTCACAAGAGTAACATAATGGCAATTTAGCAGAACCGAAACAAGTGGAGGATGAGTATCACAAATTGGCAGAGGCTCGTTTTTAGGTGGTCCGGACAGTGACAATCTGAACAAGTCACCTGTCAGTAGTATTACACATAAGAGGATAGGTGGAACATCACTAGTAGGAAAAAGAACGAACTTGTCAACACACCACGCAACATATTTTATCCTTCACCTAACAGCAAAGTTTCTAGGCTAAAAGACAAAAACCAGCAATGACAACTTAGCACAGAAATCACAAAACAACGAAGCTATTGAGCCAAGTATATATAATACAATAACAATATAGGGTTGGTGGGTAAGCCTACATTCCAGAAACTTAGTTGTCCCTGATGGGGATTCAATTGTGTGATAGGCAGGGCCACAAACACAGGAAGTTACTTGACTTCATAATTATATGTGGCTCCAGAGCTGTGAAATCTGGGTAAGAGCAATGATCATTCGAGTGCACAACAAGGAGCTTTAAGAATAATAACTCAGATCATCCATGGATATGATCATTAATCCACGAGCCAGATGCCATGAAAACGGCCAGCAATGTTGCATTTCTTTGATTTCCCAGGAAAGGAAAAGATGTACCAGGCTATCTGTTAGACAAGGATTAAAGAAAAGCTAGGAGATGTACTGGGCAGAGTCTTCAGTTGCCAATTTACCGTCAATAAAACAAATCGGATATACCAGCCAAGCAATGACACCTAAGCACAGAAATCACAAACAAAGCAGGATTGGTGGGTGCTATTGCATTCCAGAAATTTAGTTGTCCCTGATGGGGTTAAATTCTGTGATAGATAGGGACACAAACACAGGACAGTTTACTTGAACTTATGATTATATGGGACCCCGGAGCTGAGATATCAACATCTTCTGGGTACGTAACAGCAATGATCATTCGAGTACACGACAAGGCACTTTAGGAATAACTCAAATCATCCACGCATATGATCATTAATACATGAGTCGGCAGGGTTGCAACAGCCCAAGCTATTGCATTTCTTTATTTTCCAAGAGAACAGATCTAGCAGTCTATCTTCTAGACAAGTACAAAGGGTGTACAATGTACTGGGCAGAGCCTTCCGTTGCCAACTTACTGTTGATATAATGGATATACCAGCCCTATTTACATGCATGGAAATGAAGTGCAAGGGTACAAACAAGATGCTACTGAGAATTCAAGGAACTAAGAAGCTACATTTAACCTGCATACTTTGCATACCCGCTCCCGCTCTTTGGTGACTACAACCTAGTAGGATGGGTAAATGATTGGTTGCCTCATAGCTCCATGACCAACAGCATTCACAACATAACCTCCGTAGCTAGCATTCAGAACAGAACCATATGCATGACTGTTGTAACCATACGTACCATGTACAAATTCTCGGTGCTCATGCACCGGTCGAGGTGGTAATGCTGGTGAAAAGAGAAAACAATAGAACAAGGTAAGATTTAAGTCACGTATTCTGGAATATGTATAAATAGACCTAGGAAATAGCCTCACCTTGAGGGTGAACATTGTAAGGATGATAGCCTTGTGAAAAGCCATTATGTGGAATCCCACCATTTACCACCGGATATGCTGGTTTATGCGACACAAGCGTATCACTAGAATGCACAAACTGAGGCTGCTTTGGTAATGGTACAGGGTTGAGTTTAGGCATTACTGGATTATTGCCATTTGATGAGGGCTTGTCTTGTCCAGAAAGCTGTCAAAATTAATACGAATTTAGGGATTTGACCTTGTTTATATTAGCACAAAACACACATATGTATACACGGTTATAAGAAGGGCAACAATTACTGTGCTCCAACTAGGCAAACTGCAATTTATAACCAGAAATAATTTGCAAGGTAATGATAGTTCAGACATAACATATCTTTTTTGAAGATTACAAAAGAAGAAACATACCGCAAATTTAAGTGTTTTACCATTAAGCCTAACAAGTCCTGAAAAAAGTTTAACAGCATACTGAGCAATTGCCTCTGTCTCATACTCAGCAAAAGCAAAACCTTTAGGGCGCTCAGTTTCTTTGTCACATGGTATGTATAGGTCTACTACATGACCTGCCTGAATAAGAATCTCATACAAGACTCTTTCAGGCACCTTCTCATCCAAGTTGCCTGTTGACAAAAACAGGTCATAAAATTAATACAACACAAAACATTGCTGAAGTAATACAACAGAATGAAAATGTGTACAGGGATGTTACATAAATGATATAAAAAGGACCAAACACTAGGATTGCCCGGAGAGAACACCATATGCATACAGTGATGTCTCAGAATAGCAACAGAGTGTAACAACCTACAAAAGTGACAATGATAACTAGACAGTGATAGAAGAGCGCTACTCAAACAGACCCAGCTATGTGATTATTCCAAGTAATGGAAGAGTCAATTCGTCTCCATGTCAGGTAATTCCCCAAATACATGTGTAAAATTTGAAATGCCCTTTGTCCAAAACACAACCATTAATGATGATTACACTGTACTGCTTGCAGTTACCAGGCAAGGCCAAAGCACATTACAGCAACATAAAACAAATCTTTGAAGTTGTTTACTGTTTTTCTTATCAACCAACATAACTAGCAAACTCAACCTACAGACGGCAGTGTCATGGCTCTATCATTAAGCAGTCTATATCGAGTTACAAAACTGAAACATCAGGAATCATTTGGCCGGCAAATTAGAGCTATATATCCATCACATGCTGACATGAAACAAACGACAACCACAAGTACCAAAAATATAAGATGTCTTGGATATTTCAATATGGACTAGATACGAACTAAAATGATTGAATCTACACACTGAAACACGTCTAGATACATTCAATTTAGAATAAAGCTAAAACATCTTATATTTCGAACGGAGGGAGTAGATGACACCCTCATAGAAGAAAAACAAATACTACTCATACTAACCGGTGGCAACAGGATAACATTGTACTAGTACATAGCAGCCACTAAACAAGCCCGAAAGCCCAAAAGGGGATGATTCGCAATTGCACCGTTCTAATCTGTACTTCTCCCCGCACGCACTATAACCCTACCGCGACTAATCAATCGACCACCGAGACGCGCATCGACCAAACCCCTCGAAATTAGGGCACGCGTCTAGTTCAATCCGGGCAGGAGGGGAGCGCGAAGCGAAGGGGGCTCACCTACGTAGACGCTGCAGGCCGGGTTCCTCGACATTGGGGCCCGGATCTGGGCGCAAGGCCGTGGAGGAGGAGTAGGAGCACCGCGCGCTCACGGCCACCGTCGCGCCGCAATCCGGAGGAGGAGGAGGAAGCGAAAGGAGTCGCGCGAAGTCGCTTGGGCGAATTGCGGCGCAGGATGGAGGACGCAGGGTCTCTCTAGTCGGGCCGGTTCGCCTGGGCCGTTGGGCGGTGGCTATTTGTCTGGCGCCGCCTCGAGATTCGGAAACCGGCTCGGTCTCCGATTCAAGACCGACGAGGAAAGGCGTGCCCGGGGCCACCTGCCAGTGGCTAAGGTCGACAGCTGAAGAGGAAGAGACGGATACGCGGTAGACTCCGGGGTATGTGGACTACGTGGCAGGGGCCACGCGGAGGCCTGCGATTGGCCGACGCGCGTGGCGTGCACGCGAGAGTACCCGCCGAACCAAACTCTGACGTGTATGTCGGCCACATCACGTCTCAGTTGACGCCGTACCGTCCAGCTGCATGTCGACAAGGCCATGGCACTATACTACAAGTACTAGCACTAATGACGGGCCATGCCTCGTCGGCAATCCTGAAGCCAACCACCCGTAGAGTATAGAGTGGTTGATGATAATCTTGATTGAGGAAATAAATTTACTCTATCAGGGTGGTCGGCATGGAAATAGTACAAGTATCGCAATGGACAATGAAAAACATTATCATTTAGGCTTGACACCGAACCGTCAGATGGTTAGGTACTTTGTGATGAAACCAACTCACCAGGCTTCAAGTTATAGATGGACTTAACATTGGTGTGTGTATTTTTCTAAATTTTTTTTCAGACTTTTGATGATGTTGGTTCAGCATGGCCGACATGAAAAAAATGCTTGCTAATAATAGTCCTATATATAGGGTGGTCGACATAGAACTGTTGCAATGGACACTACAAATCATTATCATTTGTTAGGAATTAATTAATAGGTTAATTAATTGTTAATCTATGCTAATGTCGGTGGCCATGTTTGGCAACCGTCTCCTTTGTAACCGCCTTGTAACGAGGGTATAAATACCCCAATGTTCAATCAATGAAAGAACTGTTCCATCATTTGCTCCTCTCTCTCGTTTCTCTCTAAACACGTTATCACGCACGCCTCTTCCAGAGAGCAATTAGGCCAAGAACTCGACGGCACCACCGTCCCTGACCATCGGCCTGATACACGGCTGTGGCGGCGACTCCCTCCGGCCCCAAGGACACAAGGACCCTCGGCCTCGACAGCGCTCCAGCGGCGCAGCACCAGCGCGCGATGCAGGCGGCTGAGGCACCCCATGGTTGACGACGCCCTCCTCTGTAGGCGCGTCGAAGCGGCGCCCTCCGGCGCTTCAATCCGCCACATGACTGCCGACGACAGCGACGGCAAACGGCAAGGCCTCTCTATGGCCAGAGGAGGCCACTCCGGCGATCTGCAATTGCCGCAGACGATGACTGGACAAGTCTGGAGAAGTTGGCTACTAGAGTTTCGGCCACCACGCGATTCACGGCGGAGACGAGATGTTCCTCGTACAAAAAGGAAAGAAACTAATCAGGAGATTGATTGATTGATCTTGTCTTCTTGCAATCATCAATTAATAATCTAACAATGAATTGTTTTTCTCCTGTATGTATATGCGCTCACACGAATCTCACGAAGAATTGATCAATCGTGAACTACAAAGAAAGAAGAACCGATGGAAGAACGCAGCGCCAGCCTCCATCGATTCAACAATTGGAAGCCTCGAACACACTCTGCCAAAGGACAGAAAATCAATCAATTGAGCGGATTTATCATACTCCAAGCAGGAACATCAGAACTTGAAATTGGGCACAATTTTCAATTACACAAGGAAGACGCACAGAAAAGGATATGGGCGTTGGCATCCAGGATCACTCGATCGAAAATCCATACCAATAACTGTAAGCATCCATGTGATTTCTTCAATTTGTGATGTTCTTGCCTCTTAAATGAGATCGGCCGCGGATTCCGGACGGAGGAAGGTCTAAGCGGCGGCCGCTCGTCCACTCTCCTCCTCCCTTTTCCCCCTGGATGCGGATGGTTGAGGCTGCACCCGCGGCCTCCATCGGCACGGCCGTCTACAGCGGCGACGACCACATCCCGGCAGCAACGCTCCTCCCTCCGGAGGAGCACCACGGCCCGCCACGCAGCCCGGCAACAGAGACGGCCAACGCGCATGCGGAGCGTAGTTCTCTCCGCCACACCTTGGCACGGCGGCGGCCTTCGGCTCCGACGCCGCTTCTCCTGATGCGGCGCGATGGCGCGGCGGCCGGCGGTGGTGGCGGCCAACATCCGTCCCACGGCGTGGAGATGCTGCCCAGGCGCAGACGACCTTCGATTGGCGACGCCATCTTACCTCCTAATTCCTCACGAGGAGATGTGCTATGACTCTGTACAGCCAAAGCTAACTCAATCGATGGATTCTTGGCCGTAGCGAGAATCACCGGAGAACCTTATCTCTTCGGCCATTTAACAATTTGCATTTTTTTTTCTATTGCCAAATAAGGACATCAGCTTTAGTACTACTTGCATAGAAGCCCTCAGGCTAATTGTGATCGTATCACTCAGACCCTCTGGTCTTGTCATATTGTGCATCATATTTTAAAAAATGAATTCCACATGTATTATGAGCATAGTAGTATTGTTCAAGTGTTCATACCTTGAATTTCCATTATATATTAGAGACGACATTGTGCCATATTATACATGTTTGCCTCAACATTCATTGTAAATATTAATTTTAGAACAACATTTTTCTGTCTTTTGCAATTGGAATTAATTTTTCTTGCAAATCTTGACAAAATCCAAAATAAGGATTTTGAAGTGTCATACTTAATATGACCACATCATATTTTATTTGTGAATCACAAGGTATTGATGGCATCTACTGCATAATTTGCAGATTATCTATCACTACTGTGAGGTCTACATCTTGTTATTTTGATAAGATGACTACCTTCAAGTGCTCTTCCAAATATTAATGTGACTATTCCAAATTTAATTTGTGAATCACAAGGTATTGGTGGTATCTACTGCACCATTTGCAGATTATCAACCACTATTGTGAGGTCTACATCTTGTCATTTTAACAAGATTATTACCTTCAAAGTGTTGTTCCAAATATTAATATTATATGTGACTACCTCAAGATATCATAAGGTAATACTGGCATCTACTGCAAATTTTGCAGACTATCCATTATTACTGCAAGGTCTACATCATGTCACTTTGACAGATGATTACCTTCAAAGTGATTTCACACATTTTACATAACATAAGGTAATAGAATTATGAACATCTACTGACAAAAGTCAGACTATGTTTCCTATTACTGCGAGATCTACACCGCATCCAATGATTATCTTCAAAGTGTTATCCTATATAAATTGAGGTCTACACATATGAGTGTATAGCATCAGCTATCATAAAATTTGCTCCTCTGAAGCAATTATTGTTGTTCACTAAAATTATTTACTCTCCTAATAAAAAAAATTATATTGATCTTACATGATTAAAATGGCATTTTTTTTCTTCTAGTACCAATTATTTAAGCATCATTTTGCTTGAATAAGTCGTGGAAAATTACACAAATATTACTTTTTGTGATGATATTGTCGTCCATACATAAAGGTGGAGACCATAATTTATAGCAAAGATCGAGTGTCTCAAACACTATTGCAAGATCTACATCACATTTTTGGTTGGTATTTTATACTGACTAACCCCATGTTCAAAAAAATGTCATGGCTATTCTCTTGATAGCTAAATATGTACATATTTCATTTTACCCGCAAATTTGGCCGCTTCCCCACATTTCCCGCATTGAAGCTTGGCTTTCTATTCTACCCCGTGATTTCTCCCTGATTTAGGAACTTCACAGTTTGAAACCGAACCCTTCGAGTTTTGACATTGACAACGGCAGGCAAGGCAGCGGGGTTTCTGCCGTTCCACGTCGCAAGGGAACAAAAGGGCCACCTCATCAGGAGCGGGACAGGCTGGACAGGTCGACTCGGCATGAATCGCCGTGCCAATGCTGGAAGCCGACAAGAGATCTCGCGATACAAAACCCAGGGACGCCTCCCTGGCCTCCACCTCCTCCTCCCCCCCTCCCCTCCTCCACCTGCCTTCCATCCCTCCCCCCTA